CCCTGCTCCCTGCAGGGGGGTTGGGCTGGGTGACCTCGAGGGGTCCCTTCCCATCCAAAACATTCTATGGTTCTATGATTCTATCCTTCCACACTACGTTTTTCTTGAAAACAGTGATTTTTGTTATGAGGGAGATGGACCAAGCCTATCCTACCAGTCTCCTCTGCCTGACTTAGCATATTCCTCCAGCACGTTTGACTTTGTTTAAAAAGACTTTTTTTTTTCCCCTAAAAGTCAGAAACCCTGCCTTACTCAGCAAAAGGGCTTCCACGCTTGCCCAGGCAGTGAAGAGGCTTTATTGTGCTGAATCACGGGGTAACCTCTGGGCGCGCAGCCACAACGTCAGAGCTCTGCTTCCTTTGCTCGCTCTGCTTTTTGATCTGGCGCTGCTCAGATCCCTCCAAGGGGTCTCATTTGCCTACGTGAGGACCTGCTGGCCCGGCGCTTGTTTGGGAAGTCGGCACCGGCTCAGGCTGCTGTTCTCTAAAGCAACCCCCTTCCTCTTGCTACACTTTTTGAGGGGCCTCGTGGATTCTTTTTGCCGTTTCTCAGGCCAAAATAAATATCTGATCTCACCCCAATGGCCAGCAGAGCCTTGGCAGGGCAGGTGGCAACGCTTGCGATGGCAATTGGTGGCCAACCCTGCTCCCAGCTGGGAGGACAGGGCTGTCCCACAGTCTTTCCCTCCACCCCTCTAGGAATTGGCACTTTCCTTACTGGCCCACCACTTCTGATTGCCATGGCCGAGTTCTGCAACCTGAGTGTGCCCCACAGAAATTATGCTGGGGGCCTTGCTCCATGCAATGCATGCAATAAATCCTGCAGTGCATGCAATAAATCGAGCAGTGCATGCAATAAATCCTGCAGTGCATGCAATAAATCCTGCAGTGCATGCAACAAATCGAGCTGTGCATGCAATAAATCCTGCAGTGCATGCAATAAATCCTGCGGTGCGTGCAATAAATTGAGCCGTGCATGCAATAAATCGAGCCGTGCATGCAATAAATCCTGCAGTGCATGCAATAAATCGAGCAGTGCGTGCAATAAATCGAGCCGTGCATGCAATAAATCCTGCAGTGCATGCAATAAATCCTGCAGTGCGTGCAATAAATCCTGCAGTGCATGCAATACATCCTGCGGTGTATGCAATACTGCAATCTTAACTGCAATCTTTTCTGCTCGTGTGAGGTAGAAGCAAGGAAAAGGCCTGGAGGATTATTCGACGCCAGCTGGTGGTTGCCCGGGGGCCGAGGTCTGCCGCTGCTCTGGTGCTCTTAAGGCAAAGGTTGGGGTTTGAAAGCATCTTGTGGAGCACTGTGAGTTAACAAAAATCCTCCTTCTACGCCCCTCAGAAGTAATTGCGGGGAAGAGGCTGCTGCTGCACCCGCAGGTGGATGAGTCTCGCTCCCAGAGCTGGCAAAGCATCTCCACCAGCAGGGCTGTGCAGGTTGCCCTCGTCCCAGGGAGCTGCGTACACCCGTGGGACGCAAACCATCGCCCGGGGGACACAAACCATTGCCCATGGGATGCGAACCATTGCCCATGGGATGCAAACCATTGCCTGCAAACCATTGCCCATGGGACGCAAACCATTGCCCATGGGACGCAAACCATTGCCTGCAAATCATTGCCCATGGGACGCAAACCATTGCCCATGGGACGCAAACCATTGCCTGCAACTCACAGACCATGGGCCGCAAACCATTGCCCGTGG